CTTCTACTTCTGCTTCTGCTTCTGCTTCTGCTTCTGCTTCTGCTTCTTCTTCTGCTTCTTCTTCTTCCTCCTCCAGTGAAACTGCAAATAAGCTCCTCTAGAGCTGGTTGTAAAAATCAGGAAATCAGTTAGAGCTAGCCAAAAGATTTTTTTGGCTAGCTGTTCAGTACGCAAGTTTTGTATGTAAAACTTGCATACTTAACATAATATTGACCTTGGGGGCAGAGTGGGGTACTGCAGTTGTGCCACTAGAGAGGGAAGCATTTAAATTGTGACTGGATTGACCACTATGGGTTTGGATCCCCCATCTTTAACCCCTCAAGTGCCTTAGCCTTGATGTCCCCAACACTGGTCGTCATTCCACAGTAAAATCTTGCTTGTTATTGTACCTTGCAGAGTATCATTGTGGTGGATTAGAAGGCTGGAGTGCACTGTATGCATTTAAAGCCCTCAAGTCTGGTGTGGACTGGAGTCCTCGGATGGCTGTTTTTGGAGATCTTGGAAGTGTTAATGCAAAATCTTTAAGCTATCTGCAGGAAGAAACTCAAGAAGGAAAATATGATGCCCTCCTTCATGTTGGTGAGGTTTTTTTTTTTCCAATAAATGTGTGCCACAGCAATTAAAGGGGTGGAATAAGAAATTTTCCCCAAGACTCCTGAATTCAACATCAGATTTTGTAGCTTTGAAAATTTCTCACTAATTACAGTACACTTATTACTGTTTACCTAATCAAGTGAAAGTACATGTAAACATAAAACTGTTGTCTGAGTGACTCACGGTGTAATAAATATTTTTTTCCTTTACCAGGTGACTTTGCATACGATATGGATTCTGTAAGTCTTAGCATGTTTCAGTCAAGTCACAAAATCTTTCTCCATAATTTATTACTGACAGTAACTTACATTTACAATTAAAAATAGAGTCCAGGAATCTCAGAACAGAAGGGCATCTTGGATTGCCATGAGATAAAAATTAGATTCATGAGCATTTCGAATGAGCTGTATTACATTTTGAGTCCATCTACATACTTAGAGCACCACTTGATTATCATTAAGAGTTATCTAATTGGCTTGAATACAATTAAGCACTGATGCTAAGATGGGAAGTCTATTTGCATGTGTTTGATTTTTGTACAAGGATCTCAATCAGCATCTGGGCAAGGTTTTGATTTAACTACTAACAATTCCGTACCCCTCTTTTACTAAGACCTCAGTGAATCTTTGAATGATCTGAATTTGACCTTGCCCTTAATTTCTGACTAATTAAAACCATCATAATAGCTTGAAAGTAGAATTCTTGAGTTGAAGATTGAATTAGCCCTCTGTGAGAAACATAATTTAAAACCTGGCTAGATCAGCTAAGCCATCACTGATTGTTTTCTTTTCTACACACACAGAATAATGCAAGGATGGGAGATGACTTCATGAATCAAATTCAATCAATTGCCGCTTACGTACCGTACATGACATGTCCAGGAAATCATGAAAATGCTTAGTAAGTCAAGTTGTCAATGAAAACTATCCCTGTCAATGAATTTATGATTAATATTTATTACTGACAATGGACAATGGCAAATAGATTGCAAACCACAAGTTATTCTGTAGGTTTTGCATGGAATCATTAACCAGCTAAAACTTCTTTAGAGAGCATAGTCTGTGACATCATTACTTTTCATGCAGAAGATGGGTTTAATCAGCTGATAAAGTTGGAAAAGGTCTAATAAGGCAGGGCCAAATGCACATAACAGGGCTGGAAATAACAGTCGGTCATCGGACATTGTCTGACCAAATTTTGAACATGTCCGGCCAATTTCACATTATGATCGGACATGATGTCCGAACATTTAACCAACACCAAGTTATTGCCCTACTCCATCCATAAAATTTGGTTAGATACATTGTTAAAAGGCTCAAAATTGTGACTGGTATGGTCGCCAATGCTGCTAAAATTTCATCTTTGGCGACCAAAAATTCTCTTTTAGTGGACAGCCAAAAATACGTCTGCGTTCACAGGCTACCATAATGGCGACTACGTTTCTCTGTTATGACGATCAATAATGGTTATTTTCTCAGACACTATGTCCCTCCAGAAATACATAGTCAAAGATCTTTGCTTTTACTATGTTCAACATGAGAAAAGAAAGCAATATATCCTTTTGCTTTGCTGTGGAGGATTCTCTCACATCGGAAAACTTGCAAATGGCTGAATGTGTTTGAAATCGCCCTATAATGCCTTAGAAACCCTTGAGTATTGAGTACGTCATGTATGCCTACCGATGGTGTCTCTTGGAATGCATGAAGCCTTCATAGACATTACATTAGCTACCTATACAAAATTAGCGGCCCAAAAAGTGTTGGAATTTTTTGCCTTACAGATTTTATGATTGAGTTCTTTTCTGAATAAAATTCCTACTTGATTTTTATCACTTACGTTGCCGGATGGGCACTCAAGAATTTTTTAATTTTTGGCCCTAATGACAGTCTGAGCCATATCCAGGAGCCCATTCTGGACTGCTGCCATATCATAAAGCAGAAGTGTTCATCTTTCCTGTACTTGCCAAATAAAGTACTCTTCAGAAATCACCCTATTATGCATTACGTGCATTGTGATATGCTGTTAGC